ATAAAATAAACAAAGATAACAGTTCAATAATAGGTAAACAGTTTTCTAGAGATAATAAAATATCGTTTTTTTGGTGGTGAAAAATATACGTTCGGACTTTTTGTCTCTTTCAAAATGCCATCTGGAAATATTTTTTAAAAACAGCCTCGTTTGAGTCGTTAGCTAATAATTACTCCTTAATAATATGTCATGCTGGCAGCACAACTAACACCATTAATAATCGTATATTGTGTACAAGTATTGTTAGTGTTGGCACTACTGAGAGGCGGTTTTTTTAGGGGCGGCGTTTTGTCCGGCGGCGTTTTGTCGATTTTTTATCCGGCGACGTTTTGTCGATTTTTTGTCCGGCGACGTTTTGTCGGGCGACCTTTTGTCGTGTTTCCCTCTTCGGTAATAAAACATATTAGAATTAACCCCACACCCTGCAAATTTTGATGTGCTGTAGCGCATTCGATATTTGACCTAGCGTCCCCGGACCAGCGGCATCCATCGCGAGTAGCTTCGAAGACTTAGCACCGAAAAGTAAAAAAATCCCTCTCCCCTAGTCCCTGATTTTGAAATCGCTATATCTCCGAGTATTCGCGGCAAAGAGAGCTGATTTAAATGCAGTTCATTTTGGTTCCATGGTCCTCACCCGGTACGCCATCTCACACGCGACTTATAATCCCTTCGAAGGGATTTTCCAAAATTTAGGCTCTAGAGCCTCGAAAATCGGCAGCTGCTCCTAACCAAACACTTATTGATTTTTGAGATAGTTCCTTTCTCAAATACAATAAAATCTCAAATATTATATTGTTACGGTCAAAAACAACAGTTGTTGTTATTAATTATAAACAGTTTCAACCAGAAGTTAAACTAATAAGTAGAAAGACTACAATGGTGTTTGTAAAATTAATATTATATTTTTATATTTGTAAAATGCAAATAATATTTAATATTACATCTATATAAATACAAATTAAATGCTATTCATTGGAACATTTTAATTTTAAGTGATAGTTTATTCTAGTAGATTGCGCTACGTCCACAAATATCACATCTGACAGCTAATCCAGCTGATATATGGACAGTTTGACATAGCCTATATTGCATAGCCCCCCCCACGCTTTTTTGCTTTTGTTGTCGTCGATCTGACCATCACGGTCATGGTTCGAGGGTGGTTTTAGTGACCACACATGGAAAATAACTGATAGCTTTCCGTTATAATTTTAAAATGAGAATTGTGTAAAGGAGACATTACATTTGTCTAGAAACCATACACCGTGAAGGGACTTTTTTTCAATTTTATATAACCAGAGAACAACTTAACGTATTAGTCTTACTATTGGGTTACAATAACATACATCAGTAAATTGAATGTACTACTGACGTAAGAAATTATATTCTTTAATTATAATAAGTGCTCTATTTTAAGATACTACTAAAATAATATGATAAAAAATAATTTTTATGAAAATATATATCATATATGTGAAGATTATTATATATTTTTTAATATTTATGATTTAAATACATAATCACATAAAAATGAATAATAATATCTATAAACTATGTAAAAAAAGAGTCAGAAACTTAAGGTACAATGAAGTGTATCGGACGTGGCAACAAGGAGCTTGTAACTAAATATTATTTTTTTTTTTTAATCATTTTAGCAAACCGCATGTAATTTCACGTGAAATATTTTATAATGCTAATATACGTTATAACTAAAAATATTAATAATATTTATTATAATGTATTACAAACAAATAAATATTAACTAAAGGAGAGACAACTAATTAAAGTATTAAAACTAATAATTAAGAAAAACATAACATTCAAAGATGTAGCATCCAAATTTCTCATAGACAATTTAAAATCTATGATTTAAAATTAACATTTTAAATTTATAGGAAATGTCTCATTAATAAAATCATGAATAACATTAAAATTTGACTTAAATAGTCGACTAACCTTTCAGCACATTCAATAGCATGCCATGTTGTAATACTATACATAAATATAGTTTCAGAGTGCGAGTAGTGATGATAATCAAGTAATCAACACAAATAAAGTTATTACAATAATAGATATATTATACATAGAATATATACAACACAGTGAAACAATAATACACTAGTAATATGTATAAACTGAATAGAAATACTGAGCCCCGAGCCCTTAGATCAAATGCTATTTATATTAACCCACAAGGTTGCACGCGTCTACACAAACACGTGTGCTTACAAAAACAACTTTGTTTTTCTATAACATTTCCTGGTTAACAACTACGTATTTTTATTATACAGATAAACAACATATTTATATATTGTGAAATACTTCCTGATATATAGAATATTAATTATTATTCCAACACACCCCCTTAATTAATATTTTCTTAACACTATATTAATCTTCTGTGATCCTCTTCACGCCTATGATTGACCGTAACTTTTCAAGTCTGTCCTTGGCTAATGGCTTCGTGAAGATGTCAGCTAGTTGGTTTTCTGTTTCTTTGTACTGCAGTTCAAATACACCTTCTTCAAACTTCTCCCGAATGAAATGATAACGAACATCAATATGTTTTGACCTCTTGTAAAAAACTGCATTCCTAATCAAACGAATAGTACTTTGATTATCTATATACAAAATAGGTTTATACAATCCCTTTTCATTAGTTAATTCAGTTAACAATCTTTTAAACCAAATTAAACTTCTTATCGATTCGCAGCTGGCGACGAACTCAGATTCAGTTGAACTCAGAGTAACTGATGCTTGACGTTGTGAATTCCACCCTATTATACAAGGTCCCGCAACAAATAAATGTCCCGAAGTAGATCTTCGTGTTTGAATGTCGCCGGCATAATCCGAATCGCTGTAGACACTCAAAAATAAATTATCATCTGATTTATAACACAAACCATAATCTAAAGTATGTTTAACATAACGCATTATACGCTTGACCATTTGCCAGTGTGCATTTGTAGGTTTTGCAAGAAAACGACTTGCATAATTAACTGCAAACGCTAAATCCGGTCTGGTTACTTGTGACAGAAATAACAGTGACCCTACTGTTTGTCTATAAAAATTATTACCTGGCTGTAATACCTGCGTATCTGTGTTATCGAATGACGTGTCTGTTCGAGATATGGGGACAGAAACTTCTTTAGCATTATTCATATTACATCTTACAATAATATTATTTGCATACTTGGCCTGATGAATGAATAATGAGCCATCATTTTGTTTCTCTATTGACATACCTAGGAAATTATCTAAATCTCCTTGTGTGATTTGAAACTCTTGTTGTAAACTTGAAATGAGTTCTTGTGATTTTGCAATACTGTTTGAAGCAATTAAACCATCATCAACGAATATAGCTAAAATAACTATTTCATTATTATCATGATTTATATACACACATGGATCTGAATCAGTTGGATTAAGATTATATTTTTCTAGAAAATGTCTAAATTTAAAATTCCAATTTCTTGGTGATTGTTTTAATCCGTACAAAGACTTACGTAATCTACATACTCTACCCGAGTTGTCATTAAAACCCAATGGTTGATCCATGTAAATTTCTTCATCTAATTCTCCATGAAGAAATGCCGTTTTCACGTCGAATTGTTTGAGTTCAAGTTTCTTAGCCGCAGAAACCGCTAATATTGTACGTATGCTTTCATATCGGCATACTGGACTAAAAACTTCTCCAAAATCCACGCCTGGTTTTTGTCTTGACCCGTTAACCACCAAACGCGCCTTAAATCTCTCGACTTGACCATTTACATTGTACTTAATTTTAAATACCCACATATTGTTTAAAACACTTTTATTTATCGGTCTGTCGACAAGTTCCCACGTTTTATTTTCAATTAATGACTTAAGCTCGTCATTCATTGCTTCTTCCCACTTATTTGCATACTCACTGTTTATCGCTTCATAATAGTTAACTGGTTCTGATATACTTAGCATGCACCGATACCTTACCGGTTTTTGTAATTGGCTGCGGTCTCGTAAACTGTACCCATGAGTGTCCGTGACTATAGGTATGGTTACTGTTTCCTCGTTTTGAACTGGTTTTTCATTCACGACTTGTTCCTTCTCGTCGTCAACCTGTATAACACTTTCGCTTATGCTAACTTCATTTGTATTTATTATTTCCTTAGTGAATATAACGTCCCGGCAATCATTTACCGTTTTCGTATCATTAAAATAAACCCTGTACCCGCGCTTGTCAATAGAATATCCAACGAAAATACCGCTTCTAGACTTGGCATCTAACTTTTGACGTTTTCCTTGGGTACATGTACATACACTTTAGTTCCAAAAACTCTTAAGTGATTTATGACAGGCAATTTATTATTATACAACTCATATGGATTTTTATTATTAATTGAGCTTTTACCTGAGATTCAAAGTATAATTAGCGTATGATATACTTTCTGCCCATAATAATAAATCCATATTTCTGGAATATAAAATTGATCGACCAGCCTCCACCAACGTACGATTTTCGCGTTCTGAAGAATTCTGTTGTGGTGTGTAGGCTATTGTTTTCTGATGACGGATTCCATACTTGTTTAATATTCCTAAAACCTGTTTATTAACAAACTCTCCGCCGTTGTCCGAACGTATTGCTATTATTTTATTACCTGTCTCATTTTTAAAACATTTAATAAACAATTCAAGTTTGTCTTTAACTTCATTTTTATGTTTTAAGAAATATACAGTTCTAAAGTGTGAAAAATCATCTTTAAAAACAAGATAATATTTTGACCCGCCTAGAGAATTTGTCTGGAAAGGTCCACAAAGATCAGTAAATATTAATTCTCCCACTTTTTGTGATTTGTCCGTACGACTTCGAAATGATTTTCTACTATGTTTACCCATAATACATGCCTCGCATGTGAAGTTATTGTCACTCTCCACCTTAATATTATGTTTAAGTAAACAACTTCTTACGTAACCAATGTTTTGATGTGCCATACGTTTGTGCCACAATGTTAATGAACCCGCTACTACGGCCGTTGCTTCTGGCTGCATATCGTTGACGAAACCCGTTTTGTTAATTGGCTGGTTCTGTATTCTAATATTAACATTATACAAGCCATTTTTACGTACCGCTTCACAAATGATCTTGTTGTTTAGTAAGAATACACATTTTTTATTATCTGACTTCATTTTCATGCCCTTGTCCAACGTAGAACCAACACTGAATAAATTATATTTTAGTTCAGGTACATAATAAACATTAGTCATAAAATTATTATACTGATTATTTCTAACATAACATATAATATTGATTTGACCAGAACCTTGCGCATATAAAATAGTGCCATCGCCTATTTTCACTTTAATTGGCGATTTAAATTGACTATAATGAACATACCAATTTTTATGTCCCGTCATATGATTAGTAGCACCAGAGTCTAGATACCAGTTATCCGATTCCTGTTCTGTGAATAACAGTTCACTGTAAAAAGCTTGTCCTATTTCACTTGATTGTGACGAATTTCCCTTGGCATCGTCTTGGTCCTTTTTATACTTCCTGCAGTCCCTTTTGAAATGACCGCCCTTTTTGCAATAAGAACAGGGTCCTATCTTTTTAGTACCCACATTTGGATTCCCAACTTTCCGTTCACCAAATTTTTCACTGCCTGTCTTTTTAGAAAATTTCTTCTGGAACTTTCTAACAGTTAAAGCATTATTTTCTTCTACAGATTCAACTACCGAACTACCTTGATTCATTCTCGACTCCTCAAAAAGTAACCGAGGTGTTAGTTCATTTAAATTCTTACTTTCTAGCTGCATTGAGTCCCATGCACTGTAAAAATGTTTATACTCCGATGGCAAGGTCATTAGAATTTTCGTCATAAGCATAGATTCTGTGACTGGTTGTCCCATCAAACTAAGTTGATTCTGTAGGTTTTGCAATTTGGTAATATGCGTCGACATATCGTCAGCCGAGTCCTTTACGTAACTGAAAAATTTATGTTGTATTAAATGTATACTCGCCTCGTTTTTCTGCTCATAGACAGCGAGTAATTTTGTCCACATTTCATACGATGTTTTACAGTTAATCAAGTATTGCATTGGACCGTTGTCAACCGATGTTACTATCAGTTTTTGGTATTTGGAGTCAGCACGTTGCCAATATAATAGATCCTCTTTATATCTTTTCTGGGCGTCAGCTTCTTTGCTTGTTAGCACTGGTTTTGTATACTCTCATGTAATTAAACTACCCAACTCATATGAAGTTAGTATTACCTTCATCTGAAATTTCCAAAGTGTCCAACCTTCAATATTGCATAGCTTGGCAATCTTTATTGATTCTTCCATATCAATAGATCACGTACTTGTATAGTACCCTTGAACGACTTTGATAAATGTATATCCAATATTCCAATATACACTTCGTCAGGTGCTACTTAATTACTATAATTCACTTACTTGGTGATCTTCAAAAAAAATTGTGTTCTTCAAATACTTGACTCTCGAAGTCCGGTGTGCCTTTGACTGTATGTCTGAGTGTCTGGGCCTATTACCTGTTGTAATACTATACATTAATATAGTTTCAGAGTGCGAGTAGTGATGATAATCAAGTAATCAACACAAATAAAGTTATTACAATAATAGATATATTATACATAGAATATATACAACACAGTGAAACAATAATACACTAGTAATATGTATAAACTGAATAGAAATACTGAGCCCCGAGCCCTTAGATCAAATGCTATTTATATTAACCCACAAGGTTGCACGCGTCTACACATACACGTGTGCTTACAAAAACAACTTTGTTTTTCTATAACATTTCCTGGTTAACAACTACGTATTTTTATTATATAGATAAACAACATATTTATATATTGTGAAATACTTCCTGATGTATAGAATATTAATTATTATTCCAACATGCCGAATCTTGATTTCGATATTTTCCGTGAGTAATATGGTTTTAGTAGCTTCAGTTTGGTTTTCAGAGTCATCAATCACAGAAGAGGTAA